CAGCGACATACGACACGAGCCTATCTGTGCAGATGTGCATGTTTGCTGCTGTCCTGCTGATAGTACGAACATCAGCTTCATCGTGCCTGGCACTCGTCATACTTCGTTCCCGCCAACTTTGCTCTGAGCTGTCTTCTACGAAAAAAAGATAAATTAGAACCTTTCTCATTGCTGAGCCAAATGCCTGACACCTACAACATAAAAGGAGAGATTTGTTTTGGCTCATGTTTGCAGCCTGCGGTTGCCTGGCCCCAAGGTAGAAAACGGCACTGTGGAGGGATACCGGGGAGGAAAAGCTGCTCACATCCTGGTAACCAGAAAGCAGAGAGGAAGAAGGGAGGACCCAGGGAGAGAGAGATACACTTCCGGGTCACACCGCAGTGACCCCTCCTCCTTCAACCAGACCCCGCCCCTAGCGAGTCAGCTAGGTCACCCTAGGACTCCATCACCTATCCAAAGATCCCTGTGCGACTCTGGGGACACTCTCAATCTAACCGTAACAGAACTGCCTCTCTCCAATGCTCACATTTTAAAAATGGTTCTTACAGTGTATAGGTTTCAGATGATGAGTTACTGAAACATAAATTCATTTAGAAACCATTATTAATGAATATCTTTGAATTATTTTGGGAGTGTGCAAAATATGTCAAATTGAAGACCAGGTGTTTCATACCACTTGCATCAGGCCCTGGAGTTTCCAAGCCACATGAGTTAGGTAGCTCTACGTTTTCCTGTACAGGATGCTCAAGTGATTTCCTTCAGAGAAGGCAGTGGGCTTTAAAACATTTTCAGCTGAGATGTAGCTCATTGGTACAGCATGTGTTCAGAATGCCCAAGGCGCTGGGCTCCATCCTGAACCCCTTCTCAAAACGGAGCCCCTAAACCATTTGTGAATGCCCTGCTGATTCCTAAAAGCAGCCTGAATCAAAAGTCAATATTTGCTGGAACCCACTTGTTGTTATTCTCCCAGAATTATAAGCAGATGGGGTAACTATTTATGATTTAAAAATTTTCCTCACCCTCCTGCAGGGCCTCTGGATTTGGGCAGGAGGCAGGTGATGGTGCCTTCATTTCATTCAGTGGTGTGGGTACCTCGTTTGGTGCCAGGCACACAGAGGAATAGCATACTGACCAAGAGGTGGAGAAGAAACCTAGAAGATCCTAGCACTTAAGGATAAACCTCTGACTGATTCCATATTTGAATAACATAGCCACAAATTATATTGTCAATTGATTTACAGATTTTAAAAGCCCTGATACATACAAAGATAGTTTGTATAGCCTCAGCATTTCATAAACATTGGTAAAATAGACAAAGGAGTTGACATTGTGAAGTGTGCCATTAACTGTCACACAGATCTTTTGGGACAGAACTGTGTTCTCGCCTAGAAAAGTTTGGCTTCTATCATTCTGGGCCACAAGGTGTCACTTTGGAGCAAGATTTCTTAAAAATGCGTCCACTTAGCGGACCTGGACTATGCTTTGTAGGGTGGATTCTATTCTAGCATTCAAAATGGGTTTTCATCAGAAGTCCAGAGTTTACAAATGAACACGGACACCACCAAACTTCATGAAAACATATGTCCAGTAGGCCCCTTAAAATAAGATCACAAGTATCTTGGATGGGAAAGGCTCTTGTAGGGCTAGAGCCAGCCACCAACAAACATGGGGTCAGTGTCCTCAGAGACCCTTAGTGCAGTGTGCTTACTCTGTGTGTTTGAGGTATTTGTATATATATTAACCTTTTTGTGAGAATGTTGAAAAGTGCCATTAAAAGAGGCAGACAGTTACCATGGAAAAGAGAAAGGGACAGTCACACCACCTTGAACCTCTATCCCTGTGACACAGCACTGGTTCTTCTGGAGGGCGCTATTTTTCAACAGCCACACCCTTCGTGCAGGTGAAATGCCTTACCAGAATTTAAATGCATTAGCAGCATGGCTGCTTCGAAGAGTCCCATGGGCCAGATTCTCTCTCTGTCCCTCAGGTGGGCTGTCTGGCCCGTCTCTTCTTACGGTCACGCGTTCCAAGCAATGCCGTACAGGATATGCACGCAGGACTCCCGGCTCCTCTCTCCACTGGCTGTGACGAGTGTCTGTGCTGGCAGATGCCCTGCTTTACCCTGGGGTTAGGGGTGAACTTCTAAATCCAAGTTCCAGGCCATGTTTGGAGCTGTTGCTGCAAATTGGCCACCAAGAAAATAATGAAAAAAAAAATCCCAGGAAGGGCAGAGGAGGCACCCAGGAAAGAAATGCAGTCGTTCATCATTGCTGAGCTGGGGCTGCCTGGAGTCCCTGCTAAGAGGTTTCTTTGGACCCTTACTGGTTTTTAGACACCAGATTCCAGCCTTAATGCAATTTGCTTTAAGGGTTAGATGAAACTAACTAGGTTGTTTCTTTGATTTAAAATAAAGTGTGTTCAACCCTTAAAACCATGCATTTCCCTAGAATACCTGTCCAAACTATTCAAAGAAATGAACACAGCTAAATGCAATGAGAAGAAAGAGATGCTAGCTGCTTCTATAAGGTACTTCTTACAGTTGATGGTTTTTAATATTTTCATTTTATTTTTTACTATAGAGAGGTGCTCTTTTCCACATCCTGCAGAACAGGAATGTTATTTCTGGTGAAATTTTTTCATTTATGCAAGTTCTATTGTAGAAGACCTACTAAAGTTGTCTATGAAGTTCACTATTCATATGCTTGTTTAATTATCTGCTTAGTCTGTTATTACCTGCTTGGTCTTTTCTGCTTTTGGATCAGTCTTTCCTCTATTAATTGCTACTTTTCTTGCCTGTGGTAATCTATTTTTCTTCTAGTTAAAAATAAATTAATTTTTTGGTTTTTTGAGACAAGGCCTCACTATGTAGTTGAGACTGACCTGGAACTCACTATGTAGCCCAGGCTGGTCTCAAACTCAAGGTGATCCTCCTGCCTCAGCCTCCCAAGTGCTAGGATTACAGGCGTGCGCCACCACACCCGGCTATTAGTTAAAAATAATTTTAAATTGACATTTAAGCCTGGGCCATTCATTTTTTTGTTATACTGTAGAATACGCAATCATTTTACACTGACTATTCTGTAAGTATAATTTTAACAGCATTTTTTTTCCTTTTATCACCTTGAAGTCTGGTATTTCTTACTGTGGTATTATTTCTAAAAACTAGAATATTTACAGTTCCCCCCAGAGGCAGTCCTTAGCAGATCTTAAAATGCTGACTTTATTTTTTTATCAGTCAGCTCTCTGAATCTGTGGTTCACATCTATGGATTTATCAAATTGTGGACTGAAAACTTCTGGAAAAATAATATAGATTTTTTTTTTGTCTTTTTTTTCCTCATCAAGTTTATTGGTACATTTTAGGTATACCATACAGTTACATTCATCATTGGGATATTGTACCTTTACATGACAGGTCTTGGTTCTCATTTTTTCCCCTTTCCCCTGCCCTCCCTTCACCCTTCCTCCCTTCCCTATTTATGAAGACTTTATTTCCATTTTTTTCATTTTCTCATATTTTTTTCTTTTGCCTTATTTTCTTTCCCCTACCCTTCCCACTTCCCCTACAGCCCTTTGGAAAAATAATATAGTTTAAAAAGTAGCATTATACTGTATTGTGGTTAAAATTTCCCCTGCTCCCTTCACCCTTCCTCCCTTCCCTATTTATGAAGACTTTATTTCCATTTTTTTCATTTTCTCATATTTTTTTCTTTTGCCTTATTTTCTTTCCCCTACCCTTCCCACTTCCCCTACAGCCCTTTGGAAAAATAATATAGTTTAAAAAGTAGCATTATACTGTATTGTGGTTAAAAAGCCAGAAAAAAATGTGAGCAGGGAAAGAAGTTTAAAAATGTGTAGGCTGTATTGAAATTTGTCACTGGGGAGCTAGAGAAAGACTTAGAGCAGGTACATAGTGCTAGAGATGAGAATGTGCTTGGGATATTTGGGGACCTGCAGGGAAACTGGGGCAGGTACAGAGTGAAGGGCCCCATGCCTCTCTACTGACTACCAACCACACTGTGCATCTTATACAGAGTTGCACAAAATATTCATCACACGAATTCTTGAAATTGGATTCCAGGACTTACAGAAGGAAAACTAATAGTGACTAAAAGATAAGTGAAGGAATGGAGAAAAATTAGAACTTCACACCCGTGGTTTTAGGGATGGGTGGAGAGAGTGCTTTTGGGGGGGCGTAGATCTGGGGAGTTCGAGGGTTGGAAATGGTGATAGTTGGGAACTCAGGTTTACTGCTTGTGAGAGCTCAGGCAAGAGAGAAATTTGGAAGGTTTAATCTCTGTGCAGGACTTCAGGCTTTGGTGATGCAGGAGAAACAAATAGTTAAGAAAACCAGAATGGAGCTGATGCTCTGCTCACCATAGGATTGATAAGACCAGAGGGCCTGACTGGGGGGAAGGACACATTTGGGTAAAAGTGAACTTTGGAGTAGGAAATATCGAGCGATGTGCTGTGTTGAAATAGGGGTCCGCGTTTGAGTCTCGTTGGCAGAGAATGTCAAAGCCACTGGACCCGGTGAGGGACCAAGGCGGCCTTATTAACCTGGGGCCCTCAGGGCAGCGCGGTAGCTCCCTGTCACCAGTAGGGGGCGCCGCTGGGCAGTGGAACCTGGAAACCTCTCTGCTTTGCTAGTTAGCCCGGAGCCCCGGAGGTACATTTTATGCCCACTCTTACGGTTTTATTAGGGACACTGTGTCTAGCTAGCTAGTCTGTTTGTACCTTGATAAACAGAAAGTCCCTAAATACATCTGAGCTCATCAAGGTCCTCCTTGTTCCCACGTGCCCCCCTTCAGGCATTGATAGACTTGAGGTTTTGATACTTGGGCTGGGCACAGTGACGCACAAGCAATAAGCAATTAGTACCAGGCAGAGGACCAGTTCCGCTTGTAGGTATCAAGCTTAGCTATTCACTGGCAAACAGAAGCCAAACGCGTTTGTGACGAAGGTGTGCAAGGTCACCCGTGTGCTGTGCTTGCTTGTTAGACTCTCCAGAAGGGAGTTTTGCTAAACCCAAGCAATCAAGACTGGAAGATGGCGATGTTCCAGGAGCCGGCGGCTTGGCAGGTACTCACTCGCCCCGCCAGCATTTCACGTGGGAGCGGGATGAATGTGTTGGCCCAGAATGTACCTCATGAGTTACTCTTTTAAGACCCTAGAAGCTGCAAAAGACTAAAAGCAAGCATTCATTTTGTTCTTCCAGAGACATATACATTGTTGCACAAGTTGCAGTTAAAAACAAGCACCATCCTTTCCGAGCATTTTGATTTCTGCCCCTGAAGTCTTTTTTTTCCTGGCAGTTTCCAGGGTCCGAGGGTTCCTAAAATCGTAGCTCTCTGCTTTGACTTCTAGTTAATGAAATATTTATATTTGCGATATAGAAAGTATTCCAATTAGAAAATAATCTAGAATATTTGGGGGGGGTTGGACTTCTGGATGAATGGTACCACATATTCTGAAACAAAGGTCCCTAAAAAGATAAAATTGCGTGTCAGAGGCCCTGGAGGACAGTGGTTCAAGATGGCTTGGTTCGAATCCTGGAGCTGCCAATGTGAGAGTGCACGTGCTCCATGATCTCCGTTCAGTGTGGATCCCAGCAGAACTTGTTTCATTTGGGTTGTGTAGGGGATGAGTGCGTCAGTGTCTGCAACTCCTCTAGACCAGAGTCAGATCGCTCAGAACTTCCTAAGTCTGGCCCCCAAAAGGTGTTCAGCCAGTTGAACCCAATAGATACAGCCCTAAGCGTTATGTCCTCCAGCATAGGTCTCAGGACCCCTTAGAGATCCTATCAGTGGCTCTGATTTGAAGTGGTGGGAAGGTTTGGATGAAATGAGCAGTTGCCTTGGGCTGAGGTTCGGGGGAGGCTCAGGAGGCACCCGCCTGTGATCTTCCATGAGCTGACCTTGTGTGATCCCCTGGCCATGCTGCAGGATCGCAGCCAGGCAGCCTCCGGGACATCTGTGGTTCATGTTTGTGCTTCTGCCAAAGTGAGCCATCATCTGGGTGGCAGGTGGATGGAGCACATCTGCTTTGGGCATTTTTTAGTTTTCTTTAATGTTTTATTTGACATTTGTACTCCATACCTAGACACTGTGCCAGAGAACTTGGATGGTTCTGCCATTATCACAGTGTTGGAAAACTTCACTGGAGACCTGAAAAGAAGATATGAGGTAACAGAGCACTTAAAATTAAAAAAAAAAAACAAACCTAGTTATGAACTTGGAGGACAGTATGGGAAGTGAAATAATCCAGACACAAACTGTATGATCGCGCTTACACGTGGAATCCAGAAGAGGCGCACTCATAGAAGCAGGGAGCAGGAGGGTGTTTATAGGGCCCCAGGGAGGAAGGCAATGGGCAGGGGTTGCCCAAGGACACAAACTTTCAGTTACAAGAAGGTTAATGGATACTTGGAATTTTCAATGAGAGTGACTCTTTAGGGTTCTAACCACTCCCACCCCTAACACACATGCGAAGTAACGGTGTGAGGTGATGGATGTGTTCATTGGTTTGATTGTGGTAATCATTACACAATGTATACATAATAGCAAAACATCACATGCAGCCCTTGGATATAAATAGTTTTTATTTGTCAATTATATCTTAACAGAGCTAAGCTAAACAGAATGAAGATGTAACCAATTCATTTTATCCATCGATTCTGTTGGTGGTGGTGGTATTGTTTGTATGTGCTCCTGAGTCTCTGTGGATGTATATTTGACTTGGTTCTGGTCATGGGTTTCAATGCCTTTGTGATTGTGGCTTAATTAGTAAGACATCCACGCCTGTGTCTTTTTGCCCTGATGGGACCAAATATGTGGAAATCGGTCTCATGGCTTGGAGTCAGAGGTAGCGTTTCTAGACAACTGAGCTACCAGGAAGCAAGGTTTTGGTCACCACGATAGACGAGAAGACAAAGAGAGAGGTAACTGTGTGGCAGGATTAGGACTCTGGAGCAGAGGTAAAGGTAGATACAGGTTCTGCCATTGATCATCACATCCTTCAAGCTTTCCATGTGGCAACAGGGTTTTGAGACCCTGGATACACACTGTCTCAGAGCCTTGTCAGTAAGATGGATGTTGGAACCATTTCAGTCTCCTCTGTATGTCTTGTTATTTATAAAACCATAATGACTTATTAGCATATTAGCACACCCAAACCAACATTCATTTAACTAAATTGGAAGACTTCCAAAAAACTTTACTTTCTGCAATACCAAAGTAGGTCAGTTTATGACAGAAATGCACCTCTAGTGTTTGATATGTGTATCGGTAGCATGAATATATGCTTTCCTGTCTTGTTCTTTATTAGCGTCAAATGAGGTGGTACCTGGAGGATATATAGAATGGTACCTTAACTTAGGTCTTTATCGGTAACATTTTCTCTCAGTGTTATACACAGTACTGGCAGCAGCTTTTACAAACCATATACTCCATTTATGTAGTTGTGTTTAACCCAAATGTGATCATTTTGTTTTTGTGCTTTAGCTTGAGTACAGAAAGAGTCCAGTTTATTCAACAAGGGCAAAGAAAGCACCAGATTGCCTACGAAAACTTTTAAACCAGATACACACGCACAGGTAATTATTGAATTTCAAAACAAATTCATGGAAGTATGATCACTCACAGCTATCACAGGCCTACTCTGTGGAGGCCTGTGGAGCTACAGCCTGAGAAGTTGTGAGATTTGATACATCCCTTCACCTTTCAGGGTTTCCAGTTCTTTCTTCCTAAGATGAAGGCTTGAAGTAAATGTGTTTCTTAACCATCTTCTTTGTGTACCATTGTGTTATCCCAGCTATCCTTAAAAAGTTCATAAACCACTGGGAGACAGGGCACACAGGGATAGATACAGAAGCAGAGAGAATGGATGGATTTAGAACATTGTGATTGCACTCAGTGCTGCTGAATCACACCCAAAATGGTGAAAATGATAAATTTTATGTTTATAACATGATAAGAAAATACAGATACATATTCCCCTACCTGTGACTATATAGCAGAGTGCTCACATTTCAGAGAGATGTGAAGGATATGGGAGAGGAGAGCGGAGGGATGGGTTTCTGTAATTATTAGAGTTAATCCAGAAAACCTACAAGGGAAGTCCTCCTTGAATGAGGTTTTGGAAACAAAAGATTTGAGTGGGGCAGGGAAGATGAGTACAGAGATTATTTCTTGTTGGAGAGAGTTAAGATGGGCAGAAAGTGATGGTGAGCCAGTTTGCTCAGTTGAAGTAGAAAGCTGCTTAGGGGTAGGATATTTGAACATAAATTTATAATAGTTTGCAAATTTTTGTAAATGTGCAGTGTCACTTGATTGTCCAAACAAGCCCATGATGGACTTTGAGCTTGTGGAATTCCTGCTATGTCCCAGGGGTTCCCACCTATGCACGTATTCATTCAGCAAATACACACCAAGCACCGTGTAGTGTGTTGAACAGCTTCCTGTCACTATAACAAATAGCGGAGACAATCAGTTTATAAAGAGAAAAATGTTTATTCTTGCCTTTCAGTTTTGGAGGTTTCGGTACAGGATCCATTGACCCCCATTACTTTGGGACATGGTTGAGGGGGAGCACAGCATGGTAGACCTGCATGATAGAGCAAAAGCACTCACTTCCAGGCCAGGAAGCGGGCATGAACAAAAAACAAAGGTGTCCAGGTCTCATTGTCTCCTTTTTGGATATTCCCACAATGACCTAACCTTCCCTCCTGCTCCCTAAAGGTTTTGCAGCCTCCTAGCAGTGCAGATTTGAGTACTAAACCTTGAACACAGGCCCTTGGGGGCCACTCAACATCCAAACTATAGCTGCAAAGCTGTAGGAGCTCTTACCTTCATTCAGTGCTTGGCCTAGTGAAGAAGAGCGACCTGAAGCAAATAGACAAGCAACTTACACAACTGGAGTAAATTTCAGAACTAAAGCAAAGAAGTGGAAAAACAGGGCCCAAGTCCATTCTTGACCACAGCTTTTAGGGCTGACTTAAGGTCAGAGGAAGGAGAGAAGGTAGAAGGAATGGGGAGCCCCCCCCAATCTCCTTTTCCATGGAACCATCCACCTTATTCTCTACCAAGAATCACATTCAAATACAGCTTCCTGTGGGTTGCTATTGTAGGTTGGTTGAGAGTCTGCATCACTGGGCTTCTGAAGTTGGAGTTAGTGCACAGCAAGGGAAGGGGGAGAGCATGGAGACACCTACTTGTTTTTAAGGAAAGACATGACTGGAGAACAACATGAAGTACTCTTGGAATAAGAGGATTAATTATGAGTGGCATTTGTCATACCCAGACAATCCCAATAAAATTGGCTGCTTTTTACATTTACCAGACTGAACAAATTAGAGGACTTCAACAATTTTTTTCTTCAAAAGTTGAGCAATCTTGAGAGAGAGATTCAGGCTCTGAAACACCTTGAGAAAGACGTTCTGGTAAGTTACCTTTATTTGGAATGTTCGTTCTGATTTAAGAGGACTGTTTCTAAGGGAAGAATAAGTGTTAACTAAACAAAAGTTTTGTTTAATTTTAGGAATTTTGGGGAAAACAGTCCGATGATCTGAAGTCATTCTGTGACCTGCAAGAGCTGAGGCACTTTTTTTTTAAAAGTTTTTTTGGGGGGGTGGCAGGGGATACCAGAGATCGAACTCAGGACCTTGTACTTGCGAGGCGGGCGGTGGAACTGCTAAGCCAAATACCTGGCCCCTTAAAAGCATTTTTTAGAAGAGTTTTGGCTGATGGCTAAGGTAATGTGTTTCCTAGAGTATGTGCAGTTGGTGTTGATAAAACTCAGGAAAGTGTCTGAATAGCCATATCTTTTTCAGACTGGCCACTTTCACGGCACCCTGAGGACAGAGTGTGGCTAAGGACAACAGTCAAGAGTACATTTTGAAAAGCATAATGAAATTATCTGAATTTCTATGTTTTTGATCTAAATATTTTTTATTTTAAGCAGTATTTTAAAAATTAAGTGATTATATTTTGAGAAAAGTAGTTTTCTATCTAAACAATTGATTTACTGAATAGGTATTATATCTTCTTGATATACTATTCCTTATATTTTGTGTGTGTGTGTATATATATATATATATATGTATATATGTTGAACATATTTTCTTTTAAAAAACAACAAATGTTTTTGCCATGATACCTGTTCTCCCCACTGTAATCAGTACATCTTGAAGCTGCTATTTCTCTGTATTTGAAGTATCATTTCATCTTCTGGAGCATAAGGAGGAGGGGGGACACCGGAGAGCTGTGTTTTTTGCTCCTCTACTTTTTTCCTTGGGGAAAATTCTGGAGTTCTCTTCCCACCTGAGGAATCCGCATTGGCTATATAAATTTGAGAAGCCACTTGAGAAGTGGCTTCTTTCATAGAAATCCGAGGCCTGTAGTTCAGAGACAGATAATATTCTGTTCATGCTGTTTATTTCATTGCAAAAAATTCTTCTCAAGTTCATGATCCAAGTCAGGTGCAGTGGTGTGCACCTGTAATCCTAGCACTTGGGAAGCAGAGGCAGGTAGATTATGGGTTCAACGCTGGCCTGGACTCTATAGCGAGACCCTGTCTCAAACAATTAAATGGAAAACCAATCTTGTTGTCCATTCTCCTGTTTATCCCAACTAGCACATTAATAACAATGACTGTGAGAGCCATTTTCCAAATCCTTTTACATATATCTCCCTCTGTACGTGGTCAAAGGTGATCATCATTTTAAAACCTCTTTTCTGAATGGCCAAGGTGGGTTAGGTTGTCCTTGAACTTCTTGGAATTAGGACCTTTTTACACACTTGACATTCACGGAATGTTCCCAAGGCGCTTTTGCTTCTGAGGGCTATATCTGTGAATATTTTCCATATTAAAATTTAAATGTATATTTCAAAAATGAAAGTAAACTTTATATATTGAAATGCATTTTGATGAAAATAACATTTGCATCCATCTCCCCTTGGTAACAGCCCCCTGGGTGAATTTAGAATGTCTCCACAGTACCTCTTCTAAGGAGACTTTCCCAGGAATTTGATTTTATTCTCCTCTCTTCCAGAGACCTAAAGCTCCTTGGCTTGCAGACAGGGGTGTGGGGAGGGCATGATCATTTTCGCTCCCAGAAAGTGCTCACTGGGCCCCGGCTCCAGACTGGGAGCTTGATGTGCAATGGCTCTTTGAGGCGAGGAGAGGTGAATTCACTCAGTGACGACCACACAGGTATCTAGTGTCTGTCCTTGGCCATGTTTCCATCTCAGCAGTGGATTAAATATTTTTCTAGGGAAATAAAAGGATATCCTCTGACTAGATTAAATCATGCTTCAGCTTAGAGCTACAAGGCACTGGGGCTCAGAGCTTTGAATGGTGGTCATAAAATATTTCTGAAGTATTATGGGCTGGTAGCATTGACAGAGACAACAAATAAGATAAAATCAAGTGAAAATATTAATCTTTTTGTTTGTTTGTTTGTTTGTTTGTTTTTTGAGACAGGGTCTTACTATGTAGTTGAGACTGACCTGGAACTCACTATGTAGTCCAGGCTGGTCTTCAACTCACAGCAATCCTCCTGCCTCAGCCTACTGAGTGCTGGGATTACAGGCATGCGCCACCACGGTCAGCTGAAAATACTGATCTTTTGGTAATAACCTGAATTGCCACTGACCAAAGTTCTTCACTCATTACCAAGTAATGTAATGATCTGCAGAAGAGCTACACTATATTTATGTACATAAATGCATGCTTTTGTTTTTAAAATGGCTAATAAGAATATAATAAAAAAAGGGTGAATCTGTTTCTTCCAGGCTTAAACCAATCCAGCCCTCCTGAGGAGAGTCAGAGCTTGGCTTTGCCATTGCACCCCTTGGGTGGGTACCAAGATTGATGTTGTTCAGTGGATACGAATTTTCGTGGAAGGAAAGAAGCACCAAAGATACGCTAACACTTTCCTGCAGCTGAGCTTCTTCCCTTCCTAGAAGTTACTCCTTTTAGCCTGGTTCGTTCATTTAGTATTTGTAATTGAGCACATCAAACCCTGTACTAGACATGGAGATACAGTGGTTAACACACAGACGTGCTCCTGCCCCCACTAAAAAATGCCTTGAGAGAAGTCAGGAAAAAATAAGTAAACAAAATAACTACGAGTTTACTGATACTCTGCAGAATTCTGACAAGTTTTCTCCCACTGATAGAAAGCAATGATGGGAATATCAACTTAGGGTAGGGCTATCAAAGGGCTCTCTAAGGAAGTGATATTAAAGGTGAAGTTTTGAGGATAGAAGGAATTAGGCTTTAAAAGCAAATGTTGTAAAACAAGGGTAGGTGGGTGTGAACTTGACCATGTTCGTGCAACAGTGAATTGAAGTGAGGCAGTCAACTGATAAAGTTGCAAGCGTGGTAGACTCAGTGTAGCCTTGTTGGCCGTGTTAAAGAGTTTGAATTTTACACTAATAGTGATGGGATGTGCCTGTGTTTTGAGCAAAGGCACTGCGTGTGGGTAATGTAGTCTGATTTTTATTTCAAGAAAGCAATTCTAGCTGCTATATTGAAAATTAACTAGAAGAGTAAGGAACAGAAGAGCCCAACTATAGCTCTTTTGAGGACTGACATGGTGGTCATAAGCTGGAGAATGGAGAGATTCCAGATACTACGTTTTGAAGCTAGAATGAATGAATTACTGATAGATCACAGCAGTAGGTAAAAGAGGGGAATTAAACGTTACATATGCCTACGTTTCTGCATTTGGTGATGGGATCTATGGTGCTGCCTGTGAGAGAAAAAGTCTCGCATAGGGAGGACATGTAGATCAAGGGGAAAACAGAGTTTGTTAACAGTGTAACTTTCAGATCATGCAAGTTTTGACAAGAAAAAGACAGAATTTTCAAGGAAAAGACAATGTAACAAAATGACGGGACACTTTCATAAACGAAATATAACAGATTGTCATAGAAGAACCCATTGTATGTGGCCCAGACTCTGTTTCAGAGGAGTTCTCTAGTCCTTGGAAGAAGGATCGTTTTAGTGCTGTTAAAACTCTCCCAGCACATTAAAAAATAAAAATTTCCTAATTCATTCTTTTTTTTTTTTTTTGGTACTGGGGATTGAACTCGGGTCCTTGCGCTTGCAAGGCAGGTCACCAAACTGCTGAGCTAAATCCCCGGCCCTCCTAATTCTTTCTGTAAACTTTGCATTTACATACCAAAACCCAATGAAAATTGCACAGGGAAGTATCACTTAAAATAATCAAGCAAACCTACTAAGTAAGATATTGGTGAACAGAATTTCTCAGTTTACTAAAGGAATGAAGGGATGGTTTGACGGCAGGAATCTAGTATGATAGTACTTTTTTTAAACTGAAATTTTCTTCAGACGTACTATGTGTACATCTTTACAGTGTGTATTATGGTAATTATATATGTACAATGTATAAGGAGCAAATCTGATTCACAAGCATTCCGATTGCTTCAAATATTCATAGGCTGGGAATTTCATATTTCTCTAACATTCAAAATGTATCATAGATTTCTTTAACAACTAGTTACTCTACTGTGCAATACAAAAGCAGAACTAACTTTCTCTGGCTTTTGGTGCACTGCATTTGCTTTCCTTCCCTCTTTCCCCCCATATCACCCTCCCCAATCTCTAGTTACTATACTATTCTATTCTGTTCTAGAAGGTGGACTTTTAGTTTCCACAAATAAGTGAGAACAGGTAGTATTTTTCTTTATCTGACTTAATTTTACTTAATGATTTCCAATTTGGTCTTTTTTATAGCCCATATATATGTATGTGTTTATATGTATATATGTATGTGTGTGTGTGTGTGTGTGTATATATAT